TGGCCATATGCTCTCCTTTGCTGAAAGGTGAAGCGAGCAAATACGATCAGAAAAAAAAGGAAGGAGAGTGGGGAAACAAATACCACTGCAGTACACCCATTAAGTTGTACAGACGCTTTCCTCCCAGAAGCTCATGCAAACTTTTTCATTCCTTGTACCTGGGGATCCGACCTGCAGGGAAGTGAGGGCAATCCTTAGGGGGCTGCTAGGGATCAGCTCTTGTCTCCAGCCTGATCCTTGCTAGGCAGGGACCCCCCTGCACCATACCCAGCATCACTGCGCTCCTAAGGGCAACCACGGTACAGACACAGGGCAAGGACCTTCATCGCCATGGCCCCAGGGTAAGGGGAAGAGAAGGGAAGACAGACAGGCATGGCACGGCTGCAGAGGCCTCTTCCAACACACCACCAAGAGCTGGGAGGTTCAGAAGCTGCGCCCCCTCTGCACCATCCTCTGAGGTTTTCTTGCCCAGAGATATCGTGTCAAAAACTTTTAGGTAAACCTCGATGTTACCTAACTGTCGCATTGCTCTTTCAGCGGGAGGTGTCAGTTCAGCCAAATTACATCTCCAAGGAGTACCTGCCCTTTTGAACTAATCCTAAAAATAACGCCTTTCAAAGTTAAGCACATCTATTTTGTTACACTACTGCTCCCTGCTCAGAAAGTCCTTCTTAAAAAAAAACGCAGTAATATTGCTGACGGTGGCAGCTGGTAATAGACAAAAAAATAAATATAGGCAAGAAAAAGGTAGTTGTTTTTTTTTTTGTTTTCTATTTCTAAGACCTTTGTGCAAGTTAACGTGCACCTTGACCCATATCTCACTTTCCTTTTCAAAAGAGGCTTTCAAAGCTAGCTTTATCATTCCAGATAAGAATGTGATAACTTACTAGACACGGGTTATAAAATCCAGGTAGCTATTACATACAAAAAAAAGTTGTGGACTGTGCGCTAGCTGAGACATCATACACCTCTTGTTTACATCGTGGCTGTTTGATGACATTAATTATTACAGACAGGAGCTCTCTAGTTCCCTTTAAGAAGAGATTATTTTTTTTTAATTTGCACTATCACCTAAATGAACTGGTTGTCCAAATTATGGATTTTTTTTATAAGACATTATTTGATAGACTTGAGAACGAGTATTTAAGGTAAAACATTAAAATCAACAGCCAAAATCACACCAACTTCAATGAACATTGTACTTTGCTATTTTTTATATATGAATTTTCATTTTCTCTTAGCAGAAAAAGCTGGTAGGTACACTTAAGTCTCAGATGTAGCACTTCCCACTGCAAAGACTTGCAACTTTTTTAGAAACTCTGCCACTTGCCTTGTTTGCAGGCAGCCTCTGAAGCTGTCTGGGACAGCAGAGATACTCTGTCTCATGGCAATCCATGCAACTGAATGGTTTTCCTTTGCCTTTTTTTTTTTTCTCTTAAGAAAAAATATCCACTGGCCACAAGCTCCATGTACACCATGGCTGAGCAGCTTGCACTGCTGGCACAACAGCAGCAGACAAGTGCCATGGAGCACTTAGAGCTTGCTGAAGCAAGAACACCGAGAGGCAGGAGAGAAGACAAGACAGGTCAGACTTCACCCATTGTTTCCCTAGACAGAGCACAGACCCCAGAGGTCCTTCCTCACCCACAGAACAACCACCTCACCGAATAAGGCAGTTGCATGAACTAGCAGCTACTGCTGAAGACTCAAATCTCACTTCGGGATTCGTTAAGGTCAAGGAGGGAAGTTATACCTCTACGTAATTTATTTATTTATTTATTTATTTTATGCAATACAAAGAGGTTCCATGTTAGAACCTAACTTAGCAAGACAGCTATTCGAGTCGAAAGTTAAACTCCAGACTATTAGGAAGCATCATACTTAGTACAGCATCTGACAACCACTGTCTGCATTGGTCATCTTTTTAAACGCTAGAATCACATGCTGTGTTTCTGCAAATCATTGGCTCATTCAGCGTACAGGCAGAGCTAAGTCACTCCATCTCTAAATCAGACAGTTTCTGACTTACAGGTCTCTGATTTTGCAATCAAAACATTTGAACATACATTTTAACACATTGTGTTAATCAGCATACAACACCACAGGTGCACGAGGCATTTACGCAATGCAGGGAAAGATGCAGTACTTGCCACAAGGCTTCCAATTGGAAGATGTTAAAGCAACACTAGACCCTAGACAAGATGAAACAAAAGTGAGACAGAAGGACAACCTCGTCATGTTGAAGTTATTATGGTCTTGAATAAAAAGGAAATAAGCAGATGTATTTTATATTGCTTAGGTACTGACAAGAATCACTAAAGCTTCCCTTGCTACTTGGGTCAGCCTTTTATTACACTCAAGGAAAAAAGTGATTTTGACAGGATTACAGGTATCTAACCAAGAGCTCATTGTGACCTTATAACTAAGGATTTAAACCCTTATGCATAGCTCTTGTTGAGCTAAATCCTACCCCCAGCAAACAGGTGGACTGAAATATAACAGACTGAAGTAAACCTTTCGTTGTGTTTCACACAGCCCTAGCTCCCACTGTACCTCCTAAGACAAAAAGTGCAAAAGAAGGTTTCAGTTCACCTTCAGCATGAGCCTCTGGAACCAAACAAAGCACACAGGGCAAGTTGTTAGCACCCCACAGTGACAACAAACTAAGGTCTATTACTTATCACTTGAAGTTGGAATTTTTACCAAGGATGATGATGCCCACCCCTGCTACAAAGGCAATCCTACAAGTATTGATAGAGTTCAGAATTTCTTCAAGGCAAGTAAAAAACAACTCTCCATTTTCCAACCCTGCACATTCCAGATTTGCACTTCAAACTGCTAAACCTAACAAGAGTGGTGCCACCAGGTTTCAACAGCACACAGTATCAGGCAGGGCCTGCCAGGAGAGGAAAGGGAAGAATCAAACCACAGTCGTCTTCTCACGTACCAAGTAGCAACAAAGATTCTGCAAATAGCATTTTGTTGACACTTTTGATGATAACACCAGGCAGAAAGGTCTCTGTCTCACTGCCAGTAGGAGTGGTTCTGCAGCATTCACATGGACAAAATATCCTGTCTGTTAAGTAACCCCACTGCCCAGAGAGCACCTGGGCTGAGCACTGTGCAGACATGGCTTGTCTTTTGATGCTCTTGTAGAGAGAAGGCAGATGGTTTTACACTACACAACACAATTCAGGTAATTACCATTCTATTGGTATGTAACGCATGCAAATCTAGATGAACATTGATGTTAAATTGTAGGTAAATTTGTGTCTTATCAGGGTCTTATAGGGCAATGCAATTTCTCCTACTAACAGGGCAGAAAACACACTACAGTGAAACCACGTTCTTGATCACGCTTGAAATTTTACTTTTAGCTTAGAGGGACAGAAGTAGCAACCTGTGATGCAATACTACTGCAGAGTCAGAAACTGCAGTGTATAGCCCATCAGAGATGGAACCGTCAGCAAGCTGCCAGCTAGCAAGCTTTCAGCGAGTCTCAGCTGAACCCAAGTTGAAGAAATAGCACCACAGCACCCAGGGCGAGCAAAAAGAGCTGCACACATCTGCTACAGGGCACCTTCAGAACTACCGTCACAGGTATATACCTTACTAACCTTCAAGAACAGACACAGTGACAAGAAAAACAGCTATGCTGAGCACTGTGTTCTGCATTTACAGTCAGTCACAGTCTGAAAATACTTCAGCTGAGTAGCAGGCTTTCGCTAGCACTGGCACTGCAAGCATACACTGCTCATGTCTTAATTTTCTTGCTGACCTTTTCATAAATCCGTTGGAGCTGAGATCTTCATCTCCTTCACTGCTCCAGTACACAAGCCAGAATAGATGGTACAAACTCTTGCTACGTGTTGTTCTCTTTGCCTGATATTGTGTTTAGCATACTTATGACATGCAAGCAACATTTAACTTTTTTTAAAAACTTGGACCTCTTCTCAACCTTCAGGTAGAAAAAACACAACCCTTTGTGCTAAACAGAGGGAAGTTAATTTAGCAATTCAATGAGTAGCATCAGAACAGAGCTACAAAAACTCCACTTTCTTCCCAAACATTCAAGCATATGTGCTGCTTCAGAATACAGGCTCTTTACTCACACTGTCACTTCTCTGACTGTAAGCATTCTCCTCGGAGTGCTTAGGAAACATAACACGTTTGAGGCAGTACACATTTGCTTCTTATTCAGCATCTTCAGTAACTGAGAAGCATTCCTTCCCTTTTCTGCCTCACAATATAGACCTTGTTCACAGGATCAAGTAACAGTTTTTTCCCTACAAGATAATTGCTGCAAGATGTTAATCACTAAATCTTGTTGTGAGCACTTATATGCTACTACCATACAGTCCAATTTACAGTATGTCCATAATGCAGTCACACTATTAATAACCCTTTTACCACCATCCCTAGTGAACTTGCAGCACCCACACAGGAACTACCAGAAAACCACTATCCACAAGTATTTGGCCACTTGAGCCATGCTCAGGTAGCAACGTTTCACAACACATTGAAAACAGGCAAATCACTTACCTTTCTTGGTTTGTGCAGATTTCAGTAGTAAATCACAAAAAAAAAAAAAAAAGAGGGAATCCTGTCAGTCCTACCACAAAATGGGGATTCCTGACTCGTGCCTACGAGGTGACAGGTGCCCTGCGTTTAGGCAAACCTCCCCTGTGTGCTGGTTGCCTTACGAGCAGACAGCTGTAGGCAGCCTACCCCGTTACTCCTTTACTCCCTTCGTACACACACAGCCTCTTGCAGCCCTCACAGCGGTGCCAGCTGCACGCCTGGTCCAGCACACAGCTCGCAGATCGGTCTGCTCGCAGACACGCGTGTGAGGACCACGAGATCCCGCCGGGGACATTTGCCGGGCTCCTTCCCCGGACTCGGGGGACAGGCGCGCTGTTTCCCTCAGGGTAGCTGCAGCACGGCAGCGCTCCCGGCCACAGCCCCGCGCTCCCACAGCCGCCCCGCAGCGGGCCCGGTACCTCTGTCACGCTGGCAGCAGGCACGCGGTCGGTCCCCTCGGCCCGAGCGGCTTCCACCTCAGCAGAGGCCGGTCCCGGTTGAGGCGGCACCGAGGCGATACGGGGGGCAGGGCAGGAGGCTCCCCCCTGAGCGCCGGGGCTTCGGGGTCTCGCAGCGAGCGAGCAGCCGGGCAGCGGCGGCACCTCCCGGGCGGGACCCGAGCCCCCGCCGAGCCCCGCAGCGGGCCCGAGGGGCCCCGGCCGGCCGCGGCCGAGCACGGCGGGTCCCGGCCCCGACCCCGGCCCCGGAGCCCCCGGCCCCGTCCCCACCGCCGCCGGCCGCCTCCGAACTTTCCCCGCGGCGGAGGCTGGGGCTCCCCTTCCCGCCCCGTCCCGTCCCGTCCCGTCCCGCAGCGCCGGGCTCGGCACGTACCTGGTACCTGGTGCCGGGCGCTGGGTGCCCGCCGCCCGCCGCCCGCCGCCCGCCCGCCGCCTCAGCGCTGCCTCAGCTCCCCGCACGGGGCCGGCGGCCGTGAGGCGAGGTGAGGGGCCGGGGGGGGGGGAGGCGGGAAAAGGAGGGAGGGGGGGGGGGGCAATGCTCGCGCGCGCGCCCGGCCTTCCCCGCGCGTCGCCTAGGAAACAGCGGGGACGTTCGGCGGGGGGGGTGCGCGTGCTCGCCCCGCGTCACGTGCTCGCGGCCAGCCCAATGGCGGCGCCGGGCGCTGTAGTACTACGGGAGGGGAGGGGAGGGGAGGGGAGGGGAGGGGAGGGGAGGGGAGGGGGCTCCGGGCCCGGAGGGAGGCCCCGCCCCCAGGGGCAGGCGGGTCCGGCGGGGGGGTCCCGCAGCGGGGTCGGGCCGGGTCCGGCGGCAGGTGACGGCGGGGTCCCGCGGGCTGAGAGCACAGAGCGCAGAGCTGCGGGGTAAGCGGCGCCCCGAGCGCTGCTGGCGCCGGGCCGGAGGCGAGGGCAGTGCCTCGGGCACGCCGCGGAGCAGCCGCGGAGGCAGGCGCTGAGCGCAGGGCGCTGGGGTGCAGGAGCCGGGCGGTAGCGGACCCCCGGGGCGGGCACAGCCTCGCTGCCGCAGCGCCGTCCCCGCCGGGGAGTGCCCTTCACCGGCCCCGGCAGCCGGCTGGTGCCGCGGGGCTCGGAGCCGGGGCGCTGGGGAGCCGGGAGCCGGCTGCAGCCCGCGCCTCGCCGCGAGCCGAGCCCCGGGGGTCGCGGAGCCGTGGCCGCAAGGCGCGGGGCGTCCCGGCGGGGACAAACTCGGCGGCAGCGCTGGGCGAGGAAGCAAGAGGCGAAGGCACTAACTGCCTGGGAGATATCAAGGACACGTCTGAGAATGACGTTTAGGTTTAATTAGCCTGCTAGCAGATAGTGCAATTCCTAAAACTTTTTCAGTACACAAATATTTGAGCTCAGTACCGAGGCAGAATGAGATTTTACTTCTTTTGTTTTAAAAATAAATACATAATGCGGTAAAATCCCATTCTTGAAGAGAGCCGTAAGGTACAACTTAATCTAAATGAGCAAACAGGGTATGTTTGAAATAGTCACGTGACTGAAATGATCTTTATTTTGGGGGAGAGCTTTTATAGAAATTAATTTTGAGTATGTTTGGATAGCAAAGAACCATAAAACAAACCCCAGATCCTTTTTCAGTGTGTTCTTTTTATCTGCTCATTAAGAGAACTTCCAGTTATCATCTTTTGGGGATACTGCATCTGGCGGATGCTTCGAATAGTTAGCCATTAAAAATACACACAAGTGTGTTTGGTAATAACAATTCACTGTTTTAAGTGTATGGGGAGTAAAGCACATGGGTTTATGTAAAGACAAATCTGATTAGTTGCCAAGGCTTTTCCCAGCCTCCAGTATGGCTGTACATTAGTGCATATTTTTGCTAGAGAGCTGAACATGCTGCAGTTTGGGGTTTGAGCCCTCAGTTTTCCCAGAAACCCAGTAGTGGTTCCCACAAAAGAACAACTGTATTATTTCCCCTAGTGCTCCAATGCCCAAGAAGCACAAATGTGCATGCGATTTCCCACATGGCTCACTTTAATCTGTGGCTTCTCAGCTACAGAATAGCAACCCAGTGTTTCTATAGCTTTCTGAGCATTCAACAGGGGACACACACAGAGTTCCTACCTCACAGGCCCAGTTCAGCAAAGTACTTGAATATACTTTAATTTGGTGATTTACAGGGGACTAGGATATTTTTAACTCTAAACATGATTTAAATCCTTTCCTAAACTGAAGCCCTTGTTAACAGAATCAGATCATGAAGATGAAGACGGACAGGACTTTCAAGTAATTGAAGAAGTTGAAACGGTATCCGTATATATATCTCAGTATACAAGGTGACCTAACTTTAACGTATATAGTGTAACCTTTCAAACAATGTATTAATATTAATATTGGTTCGGATGAAAAATGTGTAGGAAAAATGGTAGAGCTGACCTGAACTGTTTTCAGCAAAGTAAACTGCCACAGAGCAAAATAGACTAAATTTCAGGTTAAAATACTCTAACCTGATATACAAAGTAATCTTCCAAAGATCTCCCAAGGTGCATGCAATGTAAATGTTTGAACATGCACAGAATTGCATTTCGAGTTTCTCTGAAAGTAAAGCTACAGCTGTGTCTTAAAAGAAGACTTTGAGTTTGGAAAGTGTTGAGTGGATGAACAAACAATCCCTTGTCTTGCAAGTACTGGTTCACTGCATTCACTGCACAGATGTAAACAAGTTAGAATCAGGTTTAGCAACAATTTCTGCTGTAACAATTTGTTTTCTTTGCCTTATGTCACCATACATCAGTTTATTTTTCTAATGAGGTAGACAGCCCGATTTATTCTGTTTCAGACTGATACATACCTAAACTTCTGGTAAGAGTGAAACAAACATCTCAGAGAAAAATATTTGCTTATATAAATAAATGCATGGTTACCTAATGATTTACTTTTAAGTCTTAAACATAAACAAGTAGACAAATCTGAAATTGTACTACTTGTTATCAAAACTTAAGCACAAAGTAGAGTTATAGATACACACATACATACCCCTGGACTGTTCAGGGGATATTTTCACTCCCTTTTTCACCACCCCCAATTTTTATGAATATGCGAGCAACAGTCTAAAAAAGTATTCTTTTAAATTATTTCATTCTCTGCAGTCAGTTTGTAAATTTGTAGTACGCTGAACAAGTATAGTCCTAGTCCAAACAACTGACGAGGTATAGCATATCCATTCAACACACAACACACTGATGCAGTAAAAAGCTGTCAGCTTCCTCCAAGTTATTTTCTGCTAAATCGGTGAACTTAAGCATCTCATGAAAAGGTTCGACACATACCCATAGCAGCAGAGAGATGGTGAGATGCATACCTGGCAGTAAGATAGGAAAGGAGATAGGAGATCTCCTTTTGGCAACAGCAAAATCAAGGTTTTTTGGCTGTTCAAGGGCCCACAGCCTGATTAAATCTGATAAAGGAACTAGTCTGAAATGTAGGTTATATCCTATTTATATTTTCTGTTATGAGAGCTATTGGATATTATATAGTTTTGTGGGAGATTCTGAGAAAAGGGAGGTTAAATTATAAAGCACTGCTAGCTCTAATAAAATGCAGCTTCTAATCAGATTCTTGACTGCTGCATATTTTTATAACACAACTTATATACACTGCATTGTGTGAATGTTTTGCATTCTGCAGTAAATTTCAGCTCTGGTAACCATAATAAAATACACAAGCGATTCTGTGAGCATAATGGGGTGTTACCCTACTCTATACTTGGCCTCCGTATTCATGTTTGTCTTTGTTGTAACCTCACCCACAGTGCACTACACAACTGTGTAAGTTTGAAGCCTTTTTAATAATACACACAGAATCCAGATCTTAGATGCTGAAAATAATCATCTCCAGGCTGACCTATTTCTTGTGGAAAACAGGATTTTAGTTCTGAAGTGGATAACGTTGGTTGGTTCCTTTGTGCCACGTTATTTTAATCGTGGTTGTGTACACAAAGAAAGCAAAGTTGCATATCTGTAAGACAGCCCAAGAGGACAGCCTTTGGGTGGTGACGTTGCTGTTACAGCCTGGTATCACAGGGAACTGCCATTTCAGATTTTCTTGTATGGACAGGACACTTAAAGAGCTAGAGAAGCCATTTAAGGGCCAAAGAAAAATAGAACTGTCTGCTTATAAAGTAAGTACAAACATGTTATACCTTTTGAAATGGGCCTCTAGGGAACGTTTCCTTTGTACTACTAAAAGCTGAAGTTATTTCTGGTGAAAGGGGCAATTTATTTTATTTGGTCATTTAATGGGCAAAAAATCATTTAACTGAGGAAGAACTTTCATGTAGATGGTGCAAGGAGAAGAACTACTATATCTACTTTAAAGGTGAAAGAGAAATAAGGATTCTTTTACTGTCTGTGATTCTTTGCATTTCTTCCAATACAGGATAGTTTGCCTGACTATTTGTTTTATTTACACTTTAAAATATAATTAAGACCAAAAAAAATAAAAACACTGAAAAATAAAACCTTTCATGTTAGGCACGTTTAGTAACTTATTTGCTACGTTAAGCCTTGAGTTCAGCTTACAAGAATAGAGAATGTAATAATGGTAGATGGTTGTAGAGTTGTCATGTTGACAGAATAACAATTTCTTTACATTGCTTTTTAGCAATGTAAACTGAAAGCTGGCTTCTGTCTAGACAGTTCCTATTCCATATTTTAAAAATAATAGTCCAAATTTAGATTTGCTGACTTCTGCTGAATTCACAGCCTACATTACTAATTTCACCTGACATTCAGATGCAAGAAGCACTCAAGTGAAACACACATGCTCTCTCCAAGAATTAAATTGTTCTTATTTGTGAAATGCAAGAATTCTACCACTAAGATCTTACCTGACTGAATAATAATCAGTCTGAAGACTGAGTCAATTATATGCACTGACTGTCAAGGTACAAACCATAATTTAATTAGCTAGCCAGAAACAATAATTTAGGTGTTTTAAAAGCATCAGGAATACAATTCTGAATAACCATGGCATAATGTTGTTGTTTTTGAACTTCTTGGTGTTTAAGCATGCTTTAGTATGAATTTATTTTCACTCTGTAGCTCTGCCCTTAGAAGTTAACTGAACTTGACGGTATACTTGAATGTTTGCCATTAACT